TGTTTTTTTTTCTCCAGTTTTTGCTCTCCATCATAGTGATGGATAATACGTGATAACAGATATGACTCTTTTGCCCAAAGGCCACTAACAGTGACGTGCTATGAGTATCTTTGTTTATTGCTGATCTTTTAAATATTTTTCAAGCTTCTCTGAGACAATGGGAGACCATAATCTTTGTGAACTCTGCTGTTGAACTACCAAGCAGCATGTTGCACAAGCTGTACTAGAGAATGTATGTAATGTAAGTAATGCTTGTCAGTGAAAGGAAATGTTTTACCTGGTACATGGAAAGTGCCCAGGCACTTGTGTGGTTTCTGGTAGATATGAGATTTCTATATGTCTTTTTTTTTTTTTTTTTTTTTTTTTTTTTTATCTGGTAAATCCAGCCATAGGAAAGTTATGTCCTTCCTTCCTTCCTCCCTCCTTTCCTCCCTCCCTTCCTCCCTCCCTCCCTCCCTCCCTCTTCTTCTCTTTCTTTCTTTCTTTCTTTCTTTCTTTCTTTCTTTCTTTCTTTCTTTCTTTCTTTCTTTCTTTCTTTCTTTCTTTCTTTTGAGTTGTGTCTCTGAATCACCAATTACACTGTGGTCTTTGAGAATAAAACAGTTCATAAGGTCCTCAACAATGGATGTGACCAAGACATTTTATTTTCAGCAGAGGGAAAACAGCTATCAAAAGATATTGCAACATTAGAATAATTTTGTTCTGGATAAAGGTTTCCCAGAACACAGAGAATAGCACAAACACTGCCACCCATCCTCTCTTTACTTCTTTCGTTGTCCTTGCCAGAAGCCTTTTGTGGCAGTTTTTAAAACCTGATGTCAGACAGCTAAGCACCACACAGCCATTTTCTTACTCCCACCCATTTGGATGGGGGAGAGAATGGGAAAAAAGGTAAAACCTTTGGGTTGAGATAAAGACTGTTTAATAGGATGAAAAAGGAAAGTAGGAAAAAAAAAAAGTTTACAAAACAAGCGAAGCACAATGCAATTGCTCACCACCCACTGACTGATGCCCATCTCTCAGCAGTGGAAGTCCCTGCACCCAGCCAACCCTCCCAGTTCTATTGTTCCTTTGGCCAGTCTGGGTCAGCTGTCCTGTTTCAGCCCCCTCCCTGCTCCTTGTGTACCCCTAGCCCCCTTGCTGGCAGGGCGGTGCAAGAAGCTGAAAAGTCCTTGGGTCTGTGTAAGCACTGCTCTGCGACATCTATAACATCGGCATGTTGTCAACATTATTCTCACCCAAAATCCAAAACACAGCACCATACCAGTTACTGGGAGGAAAATTAACTCTGTCCTACCCAAAACCAGGACACCTGACCACACAGAAAGTCCAAAAACTGTAGAGGCATTTTGGACAAAAGCTTACGGATCTGAGCACACTGTCTCCATTTTAACCAGCAACTTACAGATGATTATATGTATATTTCTATCTCTACCTACATTTAATTGCATAGGAAACAGAGCCACAAAAAAACAAAATCGTGTCAGACCACTCAGGATTATGGTGGGCATATCCCAGCAAGGGAGCATTCAAGAACCTGCTCCATATCAGAGACTGAAATTTGAAAATGGGTCTCTGACCTTACAGACATGTCTCCTGAAGTGTCCTGCTTAGCCATTTTTGTGGAAGTCTGGAACAATTTACCCCAGGATTAGCACTGGTTGTTGCCTGATTTGAGAGAGCAGCATTATTTAATTTTTTTTTTTGGTTAATGCAATACTGCAATATCAAGTAGAAAATCAAAAGTATATTATTAAGTAAAGATGTATAAAGCAACAGAAAGATGGTCTAGCTTTTGTTTCTTCCTTCTGTTTTTAATTAAAAGCCTAGCTCTTATAATTTAGTAGATTTGCTAAATATATGCTTATATGTAGTAGAATCTTTCTCACCGGCCTTCTTACTTGGTGTTGTAGTTCTTCCTTAACCTAATTAAACACACTTGGGGGTCCTGTCTGTTATTTCTATTAGGAAAACAAATTGATGATGAAGTAAAATATCTTTCATTCAGTCCTTTGTTTATTTACAGTGACTGTTGGAATTCTGTCTCCTCAAACCCAGAAAGGCTCAAACATCAGAAGATACTCTTCCCATCAAAACTGAAAGCATTTTAGCCAAAGTTTATGTTACAATTCTTCCCTTCTAGGATTTTCTTGGTACCATATTCTCAGTGCTCACCCAGCATGTACCTGGTGCCCCCTTATTGATTTATTTATTGTTTTATTGTTATTTTATTGCTATTTTTATTGCTATTTTTATTTTTATTGTTATTTTTATTTTTTTTAATGTTTCTGGTGCAGCTATTCAGGAAACAGTTATTCAATCAGTCTGCATATACCCTGTCTGCATGTGCCTTTGGGCAGGGAGTATGGTTAGTTTTCATTTCAGGAGGTGTAATGGTGCCTGACTATTACAACAATTTTAAATTACGGGTGATAGCTATACCCTCAATGTTAAGAGGTTTAAACCAATCCAGAATAATGCAAATGGAGCAAATGGTCTCCCCCAAGTGGATTAAGACATCAGATTCAGGCAATCATATTTATTATGTGCATATACACAAAATTAGTGGATAGGTTAAAATCTCATTTACCAAAGTCACAACACTTTTATGTGGTCACAAACCATAGTGCAATAAACTAAACATAAAGGTCATAATCACAGAATGTAAAACAGAATGTAAATGGTTTATTCAGTGACTAATAAATTATCTGATCCAAAAAAAAATAATATATCAGTTTCAATGAGACCTTTTTTTTTTTTTTTTTTATCTGACAAGGAACAAATATGATAACGTACTTTCTAAAAAGTGTTATGAATACTCAGAATGAAAGACAGAAGATGATGTTTGAGATATATTCTATAACAGGTTCAGCAGATGGCCAGTGTTGATATACAGGGGCAGCTACTGCACTTCCCAGCAATTGATGGGAACCCCATAAATATCCTCAAACCCTTACATATATATTTAATTCAGTTTCTTGGACATGATAATATGTAACCACAATCAGATACAAACATAAACTTTTTCTGCTGCTTTCTAACTAAATAGCACTTGTACTGGTACAAAGAATAAATAACGTAATAGGGTACATATTCTTTAATAAATGTTGGTAGTGAAATCGTGCCCCAATGGTATAGAGGCCTCCAGAGGCCTCTTGGCCTGCAGAGGTCTAAGTAACTACAACAAAGAAGATGAGTAAGATGTTAAATATAAAAAAAAAATAAAATCCAGAATTGTTTTGTAGACTTTATCAAGTTCTTTTATTTTTTGGTTTCCATTATCTTTCAAACTTTTTTTGGATGAACAGACTGTAATAAGGCTCATTCTTCTGTACCAAAAATGACAGATGTTCACAGAATCATAGAATATCTTGAAATGGATGGGACTCACAAAGATTATCAAGTCCAACTCCTAGGTCTACAAAGAACCATCCTAAAATCAATATTTCTGAGAGTGTTGTCCAAACACTTCTTGAACTCCATCAGGCTCACTGCTGTAACTATGGTCCTAGGGAGCCTGTTCCAGTGCCTGACCATCCTCTGGGTGAAGAACCTTTTCCGAACACCCAGCCTGACCCTCCCCTGTCCCAGATCCATGACGTTCCCTCAGGTCCTGTCGTTGCCCCTGGGAGGCAGAGCTCAGTGCCTGCCCCTCTGCTCCCCTCATGAGGAAGCCACAGGTTACCAGGAGGCCTCCCCTCAGTCTCCTCTGCTCTGAGCTCAACAAACCAAGGGACCTCAGCTGCTCCTCATACGTCTTGCTCCTAGACCCCTCATTTCCATTGCCTTCCCATTTTCATTTTCATTGCCTTCAAGACCATTTTCATTGCCTTCCTTTGGACACTCTCTGATAGTTTTATGTTCTCCTTAAAGTGCATCACCCAAAACTGCACACAGTGCTCGAGCTGAGGCCTCACCAGCTTAGAGCAGAGTGGGACAATCCCTTCCCTTGACCAGCCAGCAATATTAAGGACTCCTGGTGCATAAACCCTTAAAAACCTTTGTGTATTCAGCTGTGTGGTGGCATTTTACCTCGGGCAGCTTTGCTAGGAAAAAGTTTAGCTCCTGATACTCTAGTGGAGATGTGCACCTCAACATTAAAAAAACAATCATAAAGAGCAAACAATACGAAATATAACGATATTGTGTATCATTTAAATTTATGTTTATATCTATAGCTATAGCATCTTGCAACACAGGTTACATTCAAACTTTTAAGGGAAATTAAAACTGAGCAATAAAGAGTACAGTAAGAAGCAGTGTGTTACTTGCACAGCATTGTTTCTCTTGGGCCCATGAATTTTGGAAGCATTTATAGAGAGTCTGAAGCCAGCTGGATTCTGATGAATTTTAACCTCAGCCTCTCAATTGCTGAAAATGAAAATACAGAAAACTTTTGCAAGCTGGTACAGCAGCCCTGTGAAGATTAGAAGTGGATCAATCCCACTGTTAGCAAAATGCAACAGGTTATACTACATAAATGAAACATTGTCCCTAGTACCTTGAAAAAAAAAAATAAAAAAAAAATCAGGATACAAGACTTTGATAAATGCAGTGCAAAAATGCACCTCTGATGCCTAGTCTTGCTGGGAACAGAAATGAGTGGTTACAAGCTTTTGAGTTCTACTTCATAAAGAGAAGCCTCATGCAGCTGGTCTGAGTCCACAGCAGAATCTGTGGCCTGAAACCTCTTGCCACAGTCACACGATCCGGAGCTCGTGCGAGCATCCAGCTTTTCCTCCTTGCCTTGCTTCAGCAGGAGCGAGGAGGCTCAGCATCCTCTCGCCAGCCGCCGACGGATGGAGGCGGCAGGGGCCGGGGAGGGAGGGGGGCCTCCCTACCTTTTCTGGGCGACAGTTTTGGCGGGACGGAGGCCAGTTCCTGGCGAGAGGCAGAGCTCCCGGCCGCCCAGGTGAGGCCGGCTGCGGGTGCGGGAGCCGGGGCCGGGCGCGGAGCCCGGGGCGCGGAGCGCGGCCCGCCCCGCGGGGTGCCGGGGAGGGGTGACCGCCGCGCGTCACCGCCGCCCGCGATAAATGCCCGGCGGGCCGGGAGCCGGGAGGAAGCGGCGCGGAGCTCCTGGGGGAGGCCGGCGGAGGGGGAGCAGAGGCGTGAGAGCGCTCGGCGGTACCGAGCAGTGCCCAGCCGTGCCCAGAGCGGTCTCCCCAGCCGGCCCCCCGGCCCCTACGTGGGCCCGGCGAGGAGGTGGGCGGCGGAGCGAGGAGGCGGCCGCCGCCGGAGGGGTAAGGGCGGTGGTGGCGGGGGGCGTCCGGGGGCTCCCGCAGCGCCCACCATGGGGGCGCGGGGCCGGGGCGGCGGCGGGGAAGGAGAGCCCCGCGCTGCCCTTCTTGTCTCTTTTTTGTTTTCTGCCCTAGCGGAATTCTCGCTTTTTAAAATCCTTTTATTATTATTATTATTTTATTTATTTTTTATTTTTTTTCACCCCGCGTGAGGAAGGCACCGTGGCTTTCCGACCCGAATCGCGCGGTCACGTAACAGGCGGCGCTGGCATATTGCGTTCTTGGTTGTAGCGCTGCTTTTTTTTTTTTTTTTTCTTTTCAAAATGTTGTCCGCGCTTTTTCTTTGTTCGGTGAATAGAATAACCCCAGCGCCCCCCACATTTCCTTGGCAGAGTTGAATGACTCTAGTTATATTAGGTACTGCAAAATCGTAAAATGAAAGCCGTAATCACAGTCATATTTTGAAATGCACCAAGAGGGGATATTTTATATCAACTTAATTGTGTTTTCATTTCGCATTTTGGCATGCAATGCAAGCCTTTGAGCATTTTTGCTTATAAATTCCAATACTGCATGGCTGCTTATCTACTGTCTAATCTTCATTGAAGTCTGGCTTCTTTTAAGTAGATAGGAAAAGCATGCTTTTTTGTATGCAGACACTGAAATGTGCATACCAGTGTGGTATACAAAAGCTCTTGAACAAACTGAAGTCCATATACTTGAAGATAAGTTATCTAAGCAAACAGCAGTGTGTACTGATGACTGTAAATGACATGTAGAGTTCTGGTTTCTTCCTTTAAAACAACAGTGGCAAGCTCTGTACAAGCTACAGTTTGACTTTTGTTGCTTAATAAATTCATACAGGCCAGTGCTTCAACCTCCAAATTACATTACTCTCTCTTCTGCATTTGCAGCCAACAGACCTGGAAGAAAGACTTTGTCTTGGAGCTAACTCCTGAGCATTCTGAGATCATTCATCATGAAGTATGTAGTACAGGAATGGCTCAGAGTAACTACCTTACTATTCATAGCTCAAGCAATTTCTGCAATGGTTCTTCCCAATGCCACGCTCTTAGAGGAACTTTTGGAAAAGTACATGGATGAAGATGGTGAGTGGTGGATCGCCAAGCAGAGAGGGAAAAGGGCTATCACAGACAGTGATATGCAAAGTATCTTGGATCTTCATAATAAATTACGGGGTCAGGTGTATCCACCAGCTTCCAATATGGAATATATGGTAAGAAAAAAATGATAGTGACATGCAGAAAGAAATGTTCATAGAATAGTTACTGTCATTTTATAAAGCAACAAACTTTCAGTCTTAGCTTGCTTCATTGCTCCTATAACGTGCTTGCTCCTTTTTTGTTTTTTTTTGTTTATTGTACAGGGGTGCACTGTAAGAAAAATGGCTGTTTGTGGATCCTGTCATATTCTGCTGATATCAGTGGGTTTAAACTATCCTGGGTCTCCTGAATTTAACTACCAATTCTTCAGCATAAGGGACTAATTTCTAAAATTGCTTTATTCAAAATAATTGATGATGGTCTGTGAGGTTGCCATCTGAGAAAAGTACTGAACTATGAAGCTTCTAAATAACATGGATTCTCTCCCATGCTTCTAGGTTGGATGGAATTTCTGAGCAAAAAGAGGCTCCTGTAAACAATAAAATCCTCTATTTGGGTTGGCATGTGGTACTAGACTGGAGTCCCATATGTTCCTATATTTAGTAGATTAATAATGTAATACAGAATTTCTTTTTTTTTTTTCTATGTTTTGTTTTGTTACTTGTAGACTTAAATCTCCCACGTTTTTGAACTTTGATTTTATGCTATGGGTTAAGACTAAATATATCTCTCCTTGCTAATTAGATCAAAACAGGTTGTTAGAGCTTTTAAGAAATCCAGAGTTCTGACAAGAATGGGTGTCTTTTCTTGTTTCTGTAGGAAAAACTCAAATCTTCCTGCGTCCACAGCACGTATTTGTTTATCTCTCCATGCATAAGAAAAATAGCATGACTATAGGCAGGGTTTTTAACACCAAGGTTTCCTAGAACTTGTAATTATAAGATCATGACAGGGGATCATATTAACACACTTCAAGATTTAAATGTCTTTCCCAGCTTGGAGCATTGTCTCTCTCAGCTTGGAGATGTGAGAATGTATGTCCTGGAGAAAACATGTTTGCTTAAATCATCAATAAAGGTAGTTTAACTGTATTTTACCTATATGAATATTATTATATTAGGCTAGAAGTTAGTACATATTATCTCCAAACAAAGGAAGGATAATATCTTAAAACCTGTTAACACTTTCAGTTACAATTGACTACACATCCTTAAACTTTATTTTTTGTTGCGACTTTCAGACCTTTCTATAATGTGGATTATATTTTTGTTCCCAAAAACACAGGTTGATTTGTTTCTGATTAACTTACAAAAAAGCTCTTCAGCCTCTTTGTAAAATGAGAATAGAAGACTGTTCTGTTTTCCCATGTTAAAATATTTCCTGAGATTATAAAAAAGGGTAGTTTTAATTTATTTTTTTAGTTAATCATCTTTTCCCATTCCTAATGCCATTGTATATTTGACTGTGATATATATGTCTTAAAAAGAAGAATGTGGATGTGCTCATTGGAGTTAGATTTTATTTATTTATTAGTGGCTGTATTCTTGAAAGATTCCTTCTGCACTGCACAGTTTGTCCTAAATTTTGTGTTAGGTCTGTATCTGGAGCAAGCTTTTTCTTTCCATGCTCCCCAATGACTCCTGACCCAGAGTAAAAGTAAAGAGAAAATATTACCTGACTTTAATGTAGAGATATTCTTGTGGAGAAAGGGTGGAGGAATGGGGAAACAGCAGAAGAACAGGACAGCCACTTTCAAGAATTGGAGTAAATTGTAGCACAATTTCTGAGACAATCTGTGATTATGATAGGCAGGAATTTGGGATTTGTGAAGACAAAAGGTCTGTGACTGGCTGGCCAAAGGGATGGAGATGTGTTCAGGGGCTAAGAACACACTGCTCAAGCTATGAGAAGAACCTGGAAGCAGGCTGAGAGTCTCCACAAAATGCTGAGGAGTCAGTAGTATGGATAGTTTGATGAACAGTTGTAGCTGGGGAAGAACTGGGACTGTTGGGACAGTGAAAAATTGGGAGTAGGAGTTCGTGGAGGAATTTTTAGAGCACAGAAAATTGGTAAGAGACCACTTGTAAAGATTAAGGCTGGGAGGGAGTGGGAATGGGGGTTTATTCCTGGAGGAAGCCAGCATTGTGAGCCATGAGGATGGCTGAAGACACTCAAGCTCTGCTGCTTGAACAGAATGGTTGTTTGCACATCTACTTTATGATACAGTTTATGATTGCATGATTGTCTACCTTCTTTTCTAAATTAGATGTAATAAAGGAATCAGGGCTGTTTTATTGTTTAATAACTCAAAATTTCAAGTACAAAATTATAAACGGTGTGAAGTCAAAGACTAAATAACAAAGAAGCAGCAATAAGTGATAGTTCACTGAGGAAGCTTGATCTGGTTTTGTGCATTCAATTAAAAATTACCTGGAAAAGCTCATGTCTGGTCATTATCATAGTACATATATTCAAGAAATAAGCTACAAAGTCCATTTGGTCATTTCAGAACTTCTGATTCTGGCATTGAAGCTGTACAATTATTAGTGCTATTTTTGTCCATAACTGAATGTAGATAAATGCATGTCGTGACACTTAATAGACACTTTATTTTTTATAGACATATGCTAATGTATGTACAAAGGCCACCCTTCTAGATAGAAATAAACACTCTTACATCTGATTTTACAAGGTTCTATGCCCTCTAAGTCAGTTTCATGGATGACAGAAAGACCAAACAAGCAAGTGTTAATGGAATTAAAACTGTATTTAGCTGCATTTTTTTTTTTAAATAAAGGATGGACATTATTTGGTATCTTTATTTTTTATTATATTAAAAAAAAAAAGGTTTAAGCATACCTGTATGACTTATTATATTTTTTTTCAGTTTTATTAGGATACGTCAGATCTTACCAAATCAACTTCCAGTGTCCCAGAATAAGGAAAAAAAATCCCTCTAAATCTTTCCCCTATGTTTATTAAGCTAGATAAGTACAGTTGAAACACTTTTATCTACTTTTGGGGTGCTTTATAGTATAGAAATCCTGGCCAAAAAAAATAATCCTACTATGGGCACAGCCCCATCATTATAAGCAGCCCTTTGTACTCATACAGCCTCTCCTTGTAAACAGAGCTAGCACTGCTTGTAGAAATTTTAGCAGTTTTATGAATCCAAGGAGGTGATCAAGGTTCACGTGCTACGCCTGAATCTTATCTCTCTACAAGTCTCCCATATAATTTAAAATCTTCCAGTGTGCTTGGAGCTGTGAGATGGTGGGAGCTGTGTGCTCTCCTTGTACTGTTTGTTTGTTGCAACTAAGCTAACCTAACAAGCAGTTCTGGCTGAAAATGCCTCAGTCCCTCTCCTGCCACTGGTCAGGTATCTGAGTTGATTATGAGATTGATTCAACTATGTGAAGAATCACACAACTTTTTTTTTTTTTTTCCCTCTTTATGGTGTTAATTTTCTGCCAATGTGAGTTATGGGACTTGCTCTCTATATGGCTGAATCAGGTGAGTACAAGTACTGATATAAGAAGAGGGTGGGAGTGTACAGTGCTAAGGATTGAGAGTGTTGAAGAGCCACACCTTTGAGTAGAACCTACTGGTCATATGCTTTGCTTGCAAAATCTGGCCATACCTTTGAGAGAACTGCAGGGCTAACACCATGTTTTGGTTTAAGTTGTGTAGAGGAGAAAAACTTTTTACACCCTATATTTTCTAACATACTTTTGCACAATATATTCAGTGAGTAGATGATACAGAGTAGAGACTGAAAAGTATAAACCATAACATGATACTCTACATCATACAGCACACTACAGTTTTGATTTAGCTTCAGTGATAGATATATGAGATACAAAATAATATCTCTCTGATGATACTGGCATGCCCAAGGACTACTTTTGTAGTCCTTGGGCATGCCAGTGGCTTCCATTATAGTTGAGGACAGTCTGCAGCGTATTAGATCTTGATTCTATTAAAGAAAATGTTGAATTACTGATTTTTCTGTATGGCTGTAAACCGTAAAGAAACTTGAAAAAGGAAAAGGGCATGAGATTATCGTAATTCAGAGACCTAAAGTTACTAACTACAGTAGATTTCACAGTGGATGTGCGTAATGAACAGAACATTCTCATGGTTGTCTGGCTGAACTTACCGGATGAAAAGTTCATCTTCCCAAGTATCATGGCTCTGGTGGTGAGCAGTAACAGATTCCTAGGGTAAAAGGATAAGAATAGAGCATGCAAGCAGGAAAACTTATGCTTCAAAAGCTTTCAATTTCCAGCAAACAACAGCTTAGGGACTTTTCTAAATCTGCACTTTTTGTTTCCAGTAGTCCCAAAAGGGATTTTCTTCTATGAATCTAAATGCTTTTGAGTCCGTTTGTATTCTTTGCGTCTCTGATATCAAATTGCAGAGCTTCATAAATTATGCAATATAATACATGAATAAGTATTTTTTTCCTTTAAACCTATCTTTTTATTTGATACTTTTTTTTTTCCTCTGTTGTGAGAAATAATGCAAAATTAGTAGCCTTTTAGCATATTTGCAGTGGTCACATCTCTTACATCTACTTTTCTTGAAAACCATTCCATCTGAAAAATCTATTTCATTTTGTTTTGCTTCTCTATCTGCTATGGTTCCACTATTTTATTTTGTACACAACATAAATTGTTAGTAATTAAGGCGTACTGCGGATTGAAATAGTTGTCTGTTTTTGTTCTTTATTTGCTTATTAATTTTGAATATTCTTTTGCTTGGCTAAGCTAAAGGTATCACTTTGATAGTGCTATTCATGATGGTTCCAAGATCTTTTCAATATGCTATTCCAAGTATGTTATTTACTATGTTATATCACATACATGTGATAACATATATGTACAGATGGCTCTCGTGTCCTCATGGTTTCACATGCATTGACATTGAGTGTTATCAACTATTTGTCTTCCTATCACTTAGTATTAATGATTCTAATCACTACTACTTTCGATCACTTAGTGATCATCTCCATCTTTTATTTTCCCATCTCCCTCTTTTTTAAACTACCATAAGTATTTAATACCATCTTGCACTTCCATGTCTTGGGCTGTAATGGAAAATGTATGTGGCA